TATGGAGAAAATTCCCTGTGTGCCACTGAAAGTTCGTCCAATCCCTTCTATACCCTTAAGACTTAAGACTTGCTCATTCCCTTCCATATCCCTAAATTCCAGTTTTGATCCCTTCTATACCCCTTCTGTTAGTTGACAGTTAGTTTATAGTTAAATTCCTACCATAAAGTCCATTTTGCCCTTTGGTATCGAGAATATATAAATTTATGAAGCATATTGATGCATAGTATAAATTTATTGTATGCGTCTATTATATATATGACTTAATTTTGTGAGATATTATTTAACAAAAAAATTTTGATCTCGCATAACAAAAATAAATTATCATAAATAATATTTTGCATAACAAAGTCATATTTATGAAAATTTATTTTTAGATATTAAATAAAAAAACTATTTATTAGTTTTTAAAAATTATTTATTTAGCACATAAATAGATTTATGTTATAAAAATGTCTTACTACTATAACAAAATATGCTATATATACAATTTTTAATGGTAAAAAAATATTTTTTAGTATCTAAAAATAAATTTTATCATAGATAAAAATTATTTGTTTTGCCTTCTGGGAGGCGAAACTAAATTATTATATTTGTTAAATAATATCTCATAAAATAAACTCGTAAATATAATAGTCGTATACAAGAAATTTATACACTCCGTCAATATACTTCATAAATTTATATTTTCTTGATAGCAAAGGGCAAAATAGACTTTATGACAGGAATTTAACGATCAACTAATGGTCAACTAATGGAATGGGTATAGAAGGGATCGAGACTAAAATTTAGGGGTATAGAAGGGAATGGGCAAATCTTAGGGGCATGGAAGGGATTGGGTGAAATTTTAGGGGTACGCAGGGTTGCATTTCCCAATCATTTGTCTAACAATATTGTAAAGGCTATGCTACTGTTCTCGAAGGCTTGCATTTCACAACCATTTGTCTTCCCATAATCTATTTGGGGATCCATCCTTAGTTATAAAGGATCGGAAACAGAAAAAGTCTTGTTTCACCTGAATTAGGCTAGCCAAAAATGTGAATCCCAGATTTCCACCGAACTTGAGAAAGAGGTTGTGAACCCAGATACTTATTTTGTGTTAGCTGTTGCGAAATTCCATCTGTAGTAAGCAACCTATATAACCACTTGCTAAGTAAAGCTATATTTTTAATTTTCAGATCATGAATTCCAAAGCCCCCTTGGTGTTTAGGGCGGCAAAGAATGTCGCATCTAGCGAGATGGTACTTCTTTTTTGGCCATCGCTCTGCCAATAAATCCTAGAGGGATAATAGTCAACTTTTTGCATACCCCTTTTGGTATTGCAGAGAAAGACATCATATATATTGGGATGCTACTAAGCACTAAGTTAATCAGACTATGTCATCCTCCTATAGATAAAAGCTTTCCTTTCCAGCTACTAAGTCGCTTCTCAAATTGTTCCACACAACATTCCACTCAGCATTTCTTAGATTCTTATATTGTATTGGGATACCCAAGTACCTAATAGGAAATTCACCTATGGAGCAACCGAATAGTTTAGTGTATTCTTTTCCAAAGGCTTCAGCTTCACCAAAGGAATATAATTCACTTTTATGGAAGTTTATCTTAAGACCCGATAGTTTCTCAAAAGCATAAAGCAATAGTTTCATGTTGCGAGCTTTCTCCAAGTCATGTTCCATAAAGAGAAGCGTATAATCGGTATATTGTAGGACAGGAGAGACCACCATCAATGAGATGCGGCACTACTCCCATAATTTACCCACCTGCTTTGGCTCTTTCGATTAGAACAACAAACATGTCAGCTATGATATTAAAGAGCTTTGGTGATAAGGGGTCTCCTTGTCATAAACCTTTCTTAGTATGGAAGAAATGTCCAACTTCACCATTGACTTTTAAAGCCACACTCCCTCCTGAAACAAAAGATTCGACCCAAGAGATCCACTTGGGCGAAAATCCTTTTATCCATAAGGTTTACAACAAAAAAGGCCATTTGACTTTATCATAGGCTTTCTCAAAGTCAACTTTGAAGATAACCCCATTCAGCTTCTTACGATGCAGTTCATGTACTATCTCATGAAGAACAACAAAACCTTCAAGAATGTTACATCCTTGCATGAAGGCAGCTTGTGTAGGGCTCACCACACGGTCTGTCACATAATTAATTTTGTTTGTCGTGACCTTCGTGAATATTTTAAAGCTTACATTCAACAGACAAATAGGTCTGAATTGTTGCATTTTATTTGCTTCTTGTACTTTCGGAAGGAGTGTTATTATACCAAAGTTGAGACCAAATAGTGGGAGATTTCCTGCATGGAGTTCTTTGAACAGATTCATCAGATCAACCTTGATGATATCCCATAATTTTTTATAGAACTCCGTGTTGACGGTCGTTATCGATCAGTTTCAACTGTCAATATTACCAAAATAGAGGAGAACTAGTGATGCTTGCAATGCATAAATATGTTAGAATAATAATATTGCACTAGTAGTAGGTATACTAATCTTTTGCAGAGAATGACAATAAAGTGGAGGAGAATCGACATCAACACAGACAATAAATCAATCGGACGATATCGAGAACCAGACTTATGTATGAATGGGCCAAGAACTCAGAATTGACATGACGAATTGGGCCAAAATTCACAAGTCTACGAAGTGAAGCAAAAGGGGAGGCTGACTGCCGAAATTGGGCCAGGTCGACCCAGCCCATGGTTCGGCCGAACCCCCCGCAGCTCCGTTTAATCCAGGGTTCCCTTGGACGGCTGAGATTGCTCCCCAATGATGGTTGGATGGTATTACCAACCATTCCAACCGTCACAATCGTCATTGGGAGGCTATAAAAGGAGCTCTCATCCTCACTTCACTCACACACCTCAAGCAATATCTATCTCATTTCTCTCAAGTTTAGTTTAGTACTATCAAGCTGGTGGAATAGAAATAGAGTAGAAATCAGGAGTCCGGAAGCCTTCGGAAGAGTTCGGGTATGGCTCTATTAGCTTTTCTCTTCTCTTTTGTAAGCTGTGTACTTTTATTAGAAAACTCTTCTAAATACATTTATGGTATTGTAATACTTTCCGAGTATATGAGTACCTACTTTACATTATATTCATGTTATACTAAATATACGGCTAGCTTATCTGGGAGATGCTTTGGTGCGGGTATAATGTTTGCTTATGCAATTACTCTATGTCATGACGATGATATTAGAGTAGTATCTAGTAGTTTAGACGTGGTGTCTAGATTACGGGATATCATTATTTGGGGTTATATATTGCGTATAAGAGGTGGGACGCTGATGGTGACAGCTCAGTACGAGTATTCCTCCGCGCCGGTATATGATCCTAAGTTAATTCCCTAGGGAGGGTATTCCTCCATATTTAGCCCCGGTTGTATGGTCATGACGGGCTGTCGTAAGGAACTCGGCAGTCAGGTGTGGCTTCTCGAAGTACCAGGAGGGCATTGGATAGAGGGTATTAGCTAGTATATCAGTTATCTAGAATGTATGTATACTATGTATATTAGAAGTATAGGAATAGATTTTCTTTCTCTTTTCTTTCCACTTAGCTTAGATAATATATTATGAGAATGAGTAGTTAATGCTTGTGTGTCACTCTACCCTTGGATTATCTTAACTCTTGCTTAGAATATGATTATCACAAGTAATATATAAATTATTAGTTGAGTTCTCTCTACATGATCTTCCCACGGGATAAAATAAATATGATACCCTTAGAATACTCTCGGGTGAAATGATACAATGGTATATCCGTGTGCTTGCGGATGAACTCTGTAACCATAATATACCAGAAGTATTTCTGCGCCATTGCTGAGAATTATATTTCTAGTAATATCGTTAAGTAATACCAACACTCCGCTAGAAAACCATCTGGTCTAGGGGCCTTGTTATGTTTTTTTTATCAAAACACGGTGAGGGAGGCCCCCACGGAATATATTAAAGGAAAGGGAGTATTTAGTTATTTACAAAGGCAAGAGAAAAAAAACTAGAAAAATAATTATTACAACTGCATAATCCGTGATTGCACTAAAGGTCTATGCACCTCCTTCAGTCTAGTTAAATGTAGACTCAGATCTGACTTCAAATTTTTCTTCCAAGAAGAAACTGAAGGCTGATTGCCCTGAAAAATTAGACCATTCCTTTCCTTCCAAATATTCCAGGCAACAAGCAGAAAAAGTTCCATGAAACAAGGGAAAGGAAATGAAGGACTTTGGGGCTGAATCATTAGATGAAAGTCCAAAGAGGTAGACCAAATCCAGCCCAAAGGGGCCTTGTTATGTTCCGTCCCAAACACAGGTCCTTGGATCTCCTCTTCCAAAAAATGTGTCGTTAGGAATTCATTTTCTGACACTGTCACCTGAGATATATCTATTCTAGATTCATCTAGTGTAAAATGAGAATCCTCAGGTTGGCCAAAAAGTTGAAATTAGAAATTGGTGATGTAGTATTTGAGAGCTACATTCCCTTCTATCTTTCCAGGGGCGGAGCTAGGTTTGGAGGAGACCGGGGGGGGGGGGGGGCTTAGCCTTCTTCTTCCTCCTCCAGCCCCCTCTCTCCCCCCATTTTCTTCTTCCTCTCCCTCCTTTCCCCCCTTCTCCTCCCTAACAACTCCATGGAGTCCAGCAGGGTAGTGGGGGCTGAAGCCCGCTCCGCCCCCACGCTGGCTCCGCCGCTGTATCTTTCCTACCTCTTGGTCAAGGAAATAAATCATTTTTTCCTGTAATTACCATTGGCAATCATGTGATAATATTTACTCATAGCTATCAACCTGTTAACAAACTGAAGACAAAACATAGCGTAATATGACCCAAAGCTGCCATGGTGCCATTGTCAGCGTTGTTGACACTTGCGCAATCAGACAATCAAATAAATCCACTCTGCATTAACTACTCCCTTGTTCGCTGCAATACCAGTTGATCAATAGAGATAACCAAAACAAATCCCTAGAGATTCATATGGTGACATTGCTTCTGAACAATTCAAGTACCAAACACTATATATTTACTAATTCAACCAAATTTTGTGTACAAAGCAAATCGGTATTACACTTATTTTTAAAAAAATGGTATTACACTACTGGAATGTACTCCTGCTTCTCATGTGCCAACTCCCAGGCATTATCTATATATCTGTTGGCTAAAAATTGATTAGTATCGTCTAGATAGAAACTGGCCTAACAAAGAGACTCTCAACTGTCTCCTGAAGATGTGTGGAGAATGTGTAGGCGTCCTTTCTCTTCCCGTAAAAGAATGTCGCGCAAATAGCTAAATTCAACACTTGTTGCACTGCTGGGAGGAGCTCACGATGTTCACAGAGAGCCTGGTTGATCGTCCTCCATTCATCTTCTATCATCAAGTCGATCTTGGTGAAGGCGCCCTCGCTTGTGACCTTGTTCTCATTCATGTAGCACTCCACTGTGCTCACCACGTCCCCCCTGTTCTTTCTTCCACGCTGCTTGTCATGTTTGGAACATAAGTTGGTTACTTTTTTTGAAATGTTTGTTTTCAGTATGTTTTAGAGAGTAACTAAGTAGTGCTCGTGTTAATGTTGAATTCATGAATTTTACAAAATTCAATTCAATTCTTGCATTTTACGGAAAAGTTCTTCCATTCAATGGGAACATATTCTATGCACACATGCTTCTCTTGTACACACTAACTAACAAATTTCACCAACAAATCTAGAAAAGAAAGTACAAATACTTATGTGCAAAGTCTTAACATGATAAAAATGATAAAATTTATGATAGTTTTATGATAGTTTTGAGAGTATAAATCTGTCATATTTTTATCTTTTTTGTTGATCCTAATATATAACGAATTTGAAAATGAGACTTTACACATTGTCATAATACTACTAAAAGTACATATACAGTTTTTCTAAAATTTTTTGGGATACTTTTTAGTTAGTGTGTATGGTGTGCACACGAGGAGCCTTGTGTGCATAGGATATGTTTCCGCATTCCATACTCCAAAGCAGGCCAAACTAATAATTCTATACTCCTCTTATACTTTTGTAATGTAGATGTGATAAATCAGTACGGTATCTGTTCCATTTTGACAATGTCTATGTCATATGTGTTGATCTCTACCTTTCTCATCAATTTGTGTTATAAACTTAATACTCCTTCCGATTCAATCTCTTTGTCATTATAATTGTATCCTATGTCAAATATTTATATCTTTGACCATCAATTTCTACAAAGTTGTATAGTTTATCAATATGCGAGTTATATACTATGAATGTATTGCTCATGGTGAATCTAAAAACATAAATTTTATTATGTGAAACTACACAAATTTCATGAACTTGATGGTTAAAGATTGCAATGTCTGATTTAGGACAAAACTAGAACGATAAAAAATTTTAAAATGAAGAATAAATTATGAACTCTACGAATAAACAGTGTGATGTGCATTATATTGTTAAAATGTTACATTCACTAATTAAGGACCAATCCAAGTAATTAACTTGTACCTTAAATGCCGCAATGTCATTCATGAAACGTGTTATCTTTGCACACGCTATTTTGGCACCAATATCATTTGCTGCCCACTCAAATGCTTCGTTCGTTAGTGCATCACCTCGACCGACTGTAGTAGACACACATAGTAGTGGCACGGTTGAGGTTACCGTAGACAAAGCCACTTGCTCTTCAAAGCTTGGCTTGTAATTCTGATATGACCATTCCGCTTCTTGAAGATAATAAGCAGATAGATTTTGGAACTACATACATGTTAAGGAAATTAGCCACTATACTAGCAATATATAATAGTGCTGTTTTCAGCAAAAAGAAAATGCCGTCCACCTTTTTTTTGTTTTCACTGCAACATGCGGGGTTTGTACTAGTTCCTATGTTCTTGTGCCCAATCAAATGCAATTAGTGCGACAAAACTACTCTATAAATTAACAGACATAACCAACATAAACCCAAGAATTTGAAGGCTGCGTTAAAGAAAAGTTCAATATACAGGAGTAACATTTGCAGTATAAATATAACAATGAGGGAGTAAACGCTACTAAACGTACAGCTTTTTTTGTGTGATCAATTCGGTATTGGCCATCATCCTCCACATGAATCTCAAACTCCTTGAAGGTTTTTAACAGTGCACTGTAGAACTTCTTAATGTATTCTGGTAGGAATGCGGTAGCGCTCTCATCCCATCTGCAAATAAGGGAAGTTTGTAATTTGGATTAAAATTATTCGCATATATCCATTATAGTTCAGCAGAAAAATCATGGAAACACTCCCGAAGTTCTAGAAGTTACGTAGAAATTACTTCACACAGAAGAGGTGATATCACACAATCATGTCAGCATTTCAGCTCAGAATCGATTCAGTTTGGTACAAATGAAATTCATAAAATACAATGGTAAATACAGAAAAAAAATACTTCAATTTATTTTGTTTTGCCTCTTTTCACTCCTCTATTTGTAAATTTCAATCCATCAAATGGATTGATCTAGATCTTAAATTATGACATGCTTTTATATATCACCTCTTCTATTTTAGGAACTTTTAGAACATCGAACATAGTTTATGGAGCGGTTCTCTTAATGTCACTAAATTGGTCAGTTTCATAGGATATTTCACTTAGTTTAACATATTAAACAAACCTTTGGATGGCTTCATTCAGCTTCCTGCATTCCTGGATCGTGGCATAGGAATCATAAGTGTCATCCATAAGGATTATGAATGCAATTATCTTGGTAAAGATCATTCGTGCAAGCGCTGAGTCTTCCTCGTAGAACACAACATAGGACCAAACGTAGGACTCCACCACGCGATCCCTAATGTAACTTAAACCCATGTATCCATAAAGATCTTTCCACCACCTGAAATTTAAGTGATTCAGGATTTTAGGTGCATGCTAGTAGTCTGTTGAAGATAAGTTAGGAGCATCGACTATTGCAACAGATTAATATGGAGAATACATACTTATCAAACATATATTTCTCCTAAAATATAAAGGTATTTGACTTATATAGTGTATGTATGTTTGTGCTGTCTAGATTGCAGTAGACAATAGTTTATAGCACCTTATGAGATTCATAAAAATAGATACATTTAATAAATGAGTACACTTGCCGCATTCTATTTTTTTCACTTTTTTGTCAGGAAATGGTGGAGGCATTTTATGGTGCCATTAAACAGTTCTACTGCATTGCAAACAATAGTGAAATGAAAACAATAATGAAATAAAAACTTATATGTCACCTTGCTGTCGTCTTGTTAGTTTTCTTGATATGTTACAGAACGTGCACAAAAAACAAGAACACAACATTATCCAGACATTGAAAACATCCCACTCTGATCCACCTAGCTCACATCTTGGATTCTTGAGTTATTTTAAGTTTCTTTCCACTATGAAGATCCTAAAGATGCCTCTATGGAGGTAAATGACATGAAAAATGTCTTTCCACATCTAGCTAAATTAGAATGCTCCAAAAATGTGTTTACAAGATAATTTTGCACTTATCATATCTCAAAACAATCCCTAGCTCCATTAAATTTCAGATTTTAGAGAATATGGGTCGGCACAAGTTTTTATAGTACTGTTAGGACATCATAGATATAAATATATATATAAGAAACATGCTTACTCAGAAATAGCTTTAAGCTCCTTTAAGTGGACATGCTGCAGAAGGTTAAAATCCAGCATTGCAAGTTCTAGAAGAATGGGAATGTGCCCTTCTTCTTGTCTATACTCCGGCATATAGCACAAAGTTTCCATTCTTCTGTACGTCCTTGGTAATGGTACATCAAGGGCACGATTGATTTGATCAATTAGATGTGGATTGAGATCAGTTCCACTACTCAATGATGCAAGATGTTGCGTTGCAAAAGAGATGGCTTCTTCAAGTTCTGGCTCATCGTGTGTGAGAAGATGGGCTGCGTTGTATAAACTTAATAAGCCCCTTGGGTCATTAGTTATTCCACTAACAAACCTCCCATCATCGCCTTTGAATTTGTTGAATACATCTGCAAAATATATTGCTTAATTTATAAGTAATATAAGAGTGGATCTAACTATCCATTATATGAAAAGTTTGTCCTTTCATATAAGCAAAAATACTTTTAATATGGAAAAAAATACAATTTATATTCCTTCCATTTAACGATTTTAAGTGACTATTTAGCACGAACCTACCTAAATTATCATAAGTGGCATATCAGTGCCATATACATGGGAGACAAAACAACCCTAATTTAGATTGTGGGTGTTAAACTGAATAGTTTTTTTTTCTAGGCTCCATAACTTCCAGCTTCATTTCAATATACATTTCTATTTGTTTGTGTTCTGATGTTTTGTTTTGGATCAATAAAGAAAAACATTGTGATTGTGACCTAAAATGATAAATGCAATTCTAATGAACTGCTACAAAATGATAAAAAAATGTCTTGGCTATGTCCGAAATAGGTAAAATGCAAGTACGATAAACTCCTAGTTCAAAATTTGTAATAGAGATTGATACCTGGAGATACATGAAAGCCATGCTGCCTAAGCAAACGAAACCGCAGAGCAACATCATGGAGGCTAGAGCTAATGAATTCACTTGCATTGATTTCACTTAGTGAGTATTCTATCTCTTCTTTGAAGAGGTGATCTATTCCGAGATGTTGGATTGCATCTACTAACTGCAACCTTCCCTCTGTGCTGTCGCATGTCTCAAACATTGTGCGGACATCGTCCTTCAGCTTTTCAGCCCTCTCCACCATCCATCCCTCTGATCTCTGCTTACTTGCATGCATCAATTTGAATCGTTACAAAACCAATCTACCAGAACAAAATATATTGGAAATTAAGAACAACACTTTCAACATAATGGTTTCCTCTTTTGTAAAAAAAAAACTTGTGGTTCCAGTGGAGTTGTTGTAAATAATCACAAAACTCTTGTTAGATAACCAATGGCTTATAGAAACAAGATAAAATTAACTACAATAACAACATCAAATATGATACACGATAGATCAAGAACTTATAATAATAAAGACCAAGGGAGCAGTGCATGCCAATCTAAATTAACTACTTGTAGCTTGTACGTAAATGCATTAACATGCAGGGATTGAAAAGTCGGACTGCCCTTACCCCGGTAAGCAACTATCTCGCATGTTTTTTTCTGTATCTTATCAAAATTTTGTGAATTTGGTTAAATTTTGTTCAAATTCAGTCAAAATTTATTAAAATTTGAAATAATTTCGTGCAAAAAGGTTTTAAAATCGTGAAATTCATGAAATTTTCGGTGGTCACCGAAATTTCGACCTTCCTGAAAGTGTAAGCCATGATTAAAATACCCACTACCTTGTTTTTTTTATTTTTATGATAACAACAAAATCTTTAATTGGATTAATATTAGTTCATCAGTTTTTTTATCATAATTAAGATAATTAAACATAGAAAGATGTAAATATATAAATGTATTACATATATATATACATGCCTGCAATGGTTTTGGCTCGTAGTTGATAAAGAAATCCCTCCACACAGACGGCTCAAAACCAGAAGCCTCCTTTCCAGCAGCAGCGATTATTTCATCCTCTCCGGACGGTATGCCGACGGGTGTGCCGACGATGCTTGCACGTCCTCGCAGCGCTGTTCTACTTCGCCGAAACGAAGCACGGTTCGGACGGACACGCAAAACATACGGCACGGCGACCGCCATAGTTTGTACCGGACCGTGGGAGAGGAAACGGAGGCAATGCGACGACATGGTTAATTTCCCTGAAAATTTCGAACCTTTTTGCTACAAGATTGATCGGAGGATCAGCGAGAGAATTGGTATGAATGTGTGTTTGCAATGTTTGCTCTGCTGCTCCAATTTGGAATTGGATATATATAAATAAGCATGGAACAGTACGAAACCAACTTCAGTAGATGGCGCCCGTCGTCAAACCATATGCACAGTACGTGGCTGCTAACAAACGTTTTTCAGCATCGGTCTGAAAACGTTCTCTGACTGGAGACTGTGTCAGCGGCGGCGTCGGCCGTCGCCCCATACAGGACAGAAAACCTTTGTATGCACGCACCTAGTGTGTGCGGATTTCGTATTATACCGATCGACGCTTGTTCCTGCATCCTGCGAGTTCCATTTTTAAGAAAACCACAAGAAAGATGGGGCAGCAGCTAGATCGCAGCACCAAATATCCTCTATGTGTCTCGGTTGTTCTTTCTCGTCGTCTTGCACGTGTTCTAGCACTAGTTCTCCTTGCCACCTGGAAATTAGGGTTCACTTGTTTGGTAGGGCTTAACTTCTAAATTTAACTAGTTTTGTTTGGATTGAAATTATAGAACAACTTAGACCCAGTCACATATCCCTAGTTCATTTTCTGAGAGCTGTACCCTAGCCATCTCTACTCTATTTTGGTTGAAGCTGAAACTGTTTGATTAGGCTTCAGCTTGGCTAGAGATGTGCTAAACATGTCCTTACACTAGTGGCAGATCTATGATTTAGGATATGGGTGGTCCGATCCAAATTTTTTTTTCTACACGTAGTAAATATAACGATGCTAATATATACAATGCAAATATAAATAATATAGACCAAAAGTATACTATGATATACTACAAAACATCTTAAAACATATAAAATTAGTAATTAAGTAAAATTTTAACACAAAGAATCTTATATGGCTATAAAAATTTGAAGAAAATTGCCATACTACTATTTTTCTTTTCGGGTTTATGTCTCTATTGACCATGAAAGTGTTCATTATATTTTATTCATCCACTTCATTACATCGACTATGTATGGGACTAATATCGAGAAGGTTCAGAATTCATATGAATTTGTTTCCGAGATAAAGACATTAAGGTGCTCATCAAAGATGTGCAGATGTAGTACATTATTTTGAGATGAGAATAGTGAAATCATCAAACACATTCGCCACATAGCAGCAATGCTATCTTTTTATCACCATAAAGCACATTTCATCAATAGAATAAGATGGGGAACTTTACCTATTGTCCATTCAAGGTGATGGTCGGCAGGGTGTCGGGCGGCGAAGGTGGTCGGTGGCTTGGTGCTCCACTCATTCGTGACTTCGTGGTCTGCCGGTGCAGCGCAGCTCTCCTCTCGGCTCTCAGTCTCCTTGCCCGTGCGCGGTGACTAACTGGCGTGGGCGCATGGTGAAAATATGATTCAGCTAATGAGGGCGGCGGCGCGAAGAGGAAAACGAGGAGTTGATCGCGAGGATAGGCGCGCGCGACGGTTTCCATCCAACTACAGGTGCATGCGTGCAATCGCCATTTTTTTGGTGATCTGCCCCTGCCTTACGCTACTACATAAAACATTTATGCTAGCGGCCCATCATCTGTTTACACTAGCGTTTGCCGACCGGCCTGCAACTTTGTCTCCATAGAAATTGCAGGTTATTTCGTTTTTTAGTGGGCATCACGCAATTTTACGTGCGAAATATGGCCGTGTGGCTTATAGATTCAAACCTGAGTCCCGTCATTGAACGTGTAGTTTCCTTATCATCTCACCTTGTGGTTATTATCTTTCTAAGATGTTTTGTTGTAGTTTTATAAATGTTTTTGTGTTTGTTCAGTGACTGAAATTTGTCTTTGGCTGGGTTTACCTTAATGAATTTATCTCATTGTTCAACCGTTGCGTGTTCCCGGGGTAAATGTTTAGACCCATACAGTATGTTCAAAACGTCGTACGCGCGTGCTTGTAGTAGTAGAGCCAGAAATGTTCAATGTTTTGAAGAAGCACCACCTGGTCAAAATTTCAAGCTTAGAATATCAGTGCATGTCTTTTTCTATACTAGTCATTGATGTATGGTTCAATTAACTTTTGAAACATCAGTAGTCAACTTATTGTTGCATGATTGTCAATCATACAAGTAATTTAGAATATTAATTTTGGTATAGTTTATATCACTGGTGGAGAAACCATCATTGGTCGGTCGCCCGAAATACACAATAGTCTCGGTTCCACTAAAAACCAGGACTAAAGACCCGGTTGGTGGTTAGAGCGGGCATATTTGATCTTTAGTCCCGGTTCTATATCTGTCAGGCCTTGTCAGGCCCCCCGATATCTTTAGTCCCACCAACCGGGACTAAAGATCCCAGGGATCTTTAATCCCGGTTGCTAACATCAACCGGGAATAAAGCGTACGCATCAGCCCATGCACAAGCGCATGCGTAGCCCCTCTCTCTCCATCTCCCATCCTTATCTCCTTTTCTTCTCATTCCTTATCTCCATCCTCTCCATCCATCTCCTTCCATCCTCTCCCCTTGCTCTTCTCTCACCCCCTCTCCTCCTCCCCTCCCCCTCTTCCTCTTGCAGAGGCAGCCGACGGCGGCGGGATGGAGGCCGGCCGGCGGTGGCGGGATGAAGGCCGGCCAGGCGCGGGCTGGCGGTGGCCAGGCGCGGGCTGGGGCTGGCGGCGGCCGGTCGGCGGCGGCGGGATGGCGGCCGGGCGCGGGCCAGCGGGATGGAGGACGGCCGGCAGCGGCCCGGCGCGGGCCGGCAGGATGGAGCCCGGTCGCCAGCGGCCTCGCCCTCCCCTCCTCCAGATCCGGCCGGAGGGGAAGCGGCGGGATGGAGGACAGCCGGCGGCGGCCCGGCGCAGGCCGGCGGGATGGAGGCCGGTCGCCGGCGGCCTCACCCTCCCCTCCCCCAGATCCGGCCGGAGGGGAAGCGCCGGGATGGGTGGCCGGCCGACGGCGGGATGGGAGGCCAGCCGGTGAGTCGATTTTTTTTTATTTTTTTTAATTTGTGGTTTGGATGTTTTGATCTGTGAATGAATCTATGAATCGATATTGTGAATGAATCTGTGATGTTGTGAATGAGTATGTGACTCGATGTTGTCAATGAACCTGTGAATCAATATTGTGAATATATTTGTGATGTTGTGAATGAATATGTGAATGGATATTGTGAATGAATTTGTGGTGAATCTATGAATCATGCTGTGGAGTTGTGATGTGGATTTGGGGTTTGATTTGATGATATGCATACCACTCGATTCGGGAGAAAATAAAAAAGAAAAAAGGACCAGCTGATGGACTGCCGCTACCCTCTCTTTAGTACCGGTTGATAACACCAACCGGGACTAAAGATCCCTATCTTTAGTCCCGGTTGGTGTCATCAACCGGGACTAAAGATCGATCTTTAGTCCCGGTTTTTTCACCCGGGACTAAAAATAGCGATCTTTAGTTCTGGATTGGTAGTCCCGGTTTAAAAACCGGGACTACAGGGGGGTTACGAACCGGGACTAAAAAGCACTTCTCCACCAGTGTATGGTGATTCTGTACAGGAATAACTTGCCATGGCGACGTCAGTTAATTTGCTTGGTACCATCACAAAATTGCTGCCGGTGCTGGAAAATACAATTGCAAAGAGCATCAACTGCCACCTACCCTTTCGAATTACTATAGCATTTAGTTGTAAAAAACATCATCTACTAATTAACAAAGATGCCACATCATCATCCACTAACAATCATCATATTTAAACATCATGCAAACATGCTATATCTTTATAGTTTTTATAATTTAAGAGCTTTTCAAATACAAACATGTTAAATTATCATCCAACATAATTTACATAATGTTTCAATGTATATCTCTATTATGTTTTAGATATCCTATATATTTATATAGTTAATTCTCACTTCGTTAGTGCTTAAATGATTAATCTATGGTCCAAATTATCTTTCTCCTTTTTTCCTCTAATTAAATCATATCACATCAATTGTTTTTAGCCTTTAGATGATTAATCTACGGTCTAAACTATCTCCCTACTTTTTTTCTTCCATAAAGTCATACCACATTACTTTTTACGTTTGAATCACCATTCTACATACTATTTAAATTTAAATTATCATAAACCACATTAATTTATTTAATCTTATGTTATCTTGCTATCTTACACGTTATTTTTTTTTACATACTAAATTTCCGCAGCAATGCGCGGGGTTTCACCTAGTTAAACATAGAAAGATGTATCACATCTCCTATCCTGCAGTGGCTTTAGCTCGTGGTTGATAAAAGAAATCCCTCCACACAGACAGCCCAAAACCAGACGTCTCCTCTCCAGCAGCAGCGATTATTTCATCATCTCTAGATGGTATGACGAGTGTACAAACCCTGCTTGCACGTCCTCCCCGAAACAAAACACAGTTCGGAATGGCAATTAGCAGGACATGCGGCACAGCGACTGGCCGCCGGCCGCCCGGCAACCGCTGCGGTTTCTACCAGGCCATGGGAGAGGAAAGGGAGGCAAATGCGACATGGTTCATCACCAATTTCCCTGAAAATTGAGAAATGTCTTGCTAGCTACAGGATCGATCGATTGAGAAATTGAGAAATAGGTGTCTTTCAGCTGTAGAAGAAGCGACGCCTAGCCTAGCACAGATCACGACAACCTTGAAGCGGATGACAAGCCCCGAGGTGCTGAAAACATTGGCCTACAGGTACTGCTCCCTCGGTCCCTAAAAAGATAAATCTAGTATCAGATATGACGTATTTTAGTACAACGAATCTGGACAGAGATATGTCTAAGATTCGTAGTGCTAGAATGTGTCACATTTAGTACTAAATTAATTTTTTATGAGACGGAGTGAGTATGTGGCACTGGCGGCAGCGGCGGCGGCAGCGGTGATTCCCATAGTTGGAGGCAATCCTATGGTGGTTAGGCTCGGCGGCATCCCTCGGTTGCCAGAATCAGTGCTGGATGGCGAGAGGCGGTGCGGATTGGCAGAAAGAAAAAAAAAGAAATGTGAGGTGCTTCAATGGCAGATTAGCTGCCGGTCAATGCCGGATGGTACTAAAATCT